CACACACACTCACACACACACACACTCACACACACACACTCAGTGAGTCAGTGATGAATAAATCCAGAGACAAACGTCTTTCAGACGCTGAAACTCACCAGCCGTTGATTCGGATGTACAGATCCAGATCAAGAAGAGCCGCTGCGTCCCGCTGAGAGCCGTCAAACGAGTGAACCTGACAACCACTGACAGATCACACCAAAACAAAGATGAATAATGGCACTATTATCTTTTGGATAATTGTCAAAATGTATGAATTTTGCAGCATTAGGGGCCATTCACACAGAGCGTGTTTTTCCTTCCGATGCGCTACTTTTCCATTGTTTTTCTATGTAAACACGCTAGATGGATGTGAATGACCGCTGCACTCGTGTCTCGTGTTTTTTGCAGCATTGAAAAAGAATTTCAACTTTTACATGCAGCGCCACTCAAAACAGTGGACCAATCAGAAGACCCCGGAGGCGGGGCAAGTGTTGCCAGCTTTTGTTTACAATAACAAGTTTAATTTGAAAGTAACCTGCCGGAGGAGGCCGTCATTGTGGCTATGTCTGAATTATATAACATTTCTTCGAGTGATTACCACAATCTGTTTCTTAAAAAAAGAGCCTGGAGAGAAATATCACTGAATATATCTGGAGATATTAGGTCTCAGAGCGCATCTGGAGACCCTCACGTTCTGCGCTGGGCTTTTTCAAAACTATTCCTGAGCACTGTGACGCTGTTTGAATGGCCAGTAACACTCTTATCTTCCTGTGTGTCACTGTGAAGAACCGAACTGTATTGTATAAAGTGCTACAGAAACACATGAGACTTCAAACACTCACCACTCCACCGACACACCGCTCTCTGTTCCTCTTCATGATGTCTGTGAGCGACACACACACACACACACACACACACACACACAGAGTTTGTCAGACCAGCTGTCACACACTCACACACACTCATCACACACTTACATACACTGGTCACCTGTCACACACACACACACATCACTTACACACACTCACTCACACACACACACACACACACACACACACTCACACAGAGTTTGTCAGACCAGCTGTCACACACTCACACACTCACATCACACACTTACATACACACAAATCTCTTACACACACTCACACACACACACACTGTTTATATTAGATCACCTGTCAAACACATACATCACTTACACACACTCACAAACACGCACACACACACACACACAGAGTTTATGTCAGATCAGCTGTCACACACACGCTCCTCCAGACGAGACTCACCCAGGAAGTCTGCGTGTGCGTTCCTGCAGCTGAGGAACATGGGTAAGCGAGCCTCTTCTTCCAGATCAAACTGCCGCTCGAAGTACCTGTGAGAGAAACACACGTGATGAACACATTTACATTTACATTTAGTCATTTAGCAGACGCTTTTATCCAAAGCGACTTACAAATGAGGACAATAAAAGCAGTCAAAACTAACAAAACAGCAACAATATATAAGTGCAACCACAGACCAGTGTGAGGATGAGGATGAAGATGTGGTGAGGATGATGTCATGATGTGGTGTTGATGATGATGTCATGATGGGATGATGAAGTCATGATGATGATGTCATGATGATGTGATGATTTTGGTGTGGTGATGTGATGATGATGACATGATGTGATGGTGATGTGATAATGATGATGTCATTTTTAAGTCATGATGATGATGTCATGATGATTTTGATGTGATGGTGTGATGGTGATGTCATGATGTGGTGATGGTGATGATGTCATGATGACATGATGATGATGATGATGATGATGATGTGGTGGTGTGATGATGATGATGCCATGGTGTGAATATGATGTCATTATGTTATGATGATTACGTGATGATATCATAATGTGATTATGATGATGATGTCATGATGTGATGTGATGATGTGATTACCGAGGCCACACTCTCCCACAGCGATCACCTTCTGTCTGTCACGAGGCTCAGATCCGTGAGAGATGCCAGGTACTGACCCGCGCCCTGCGGATCGAACTCAGCGCAGCGTGTCGGGTGACAGCCCACCGTACTGAAGAACTCCTCTGATGTACAACACATAACACTCATGTAGAAACACATATATAATGCTTCAGTCATAAAACGTTACAAAGAAACACTCGTTCACAGGAAACAGGCTGTTACAGTTGTGTCACATGACCACATTATGCTGCATGTTTGAGTTAAGAAGTTGCATTTCCTCTGAAATACATAAGCTTATTTTTAGAGATCGACTGATGCTGATTGATTTATTTATAACCATTCCATTCATCAGTGGTTCCAAAATTTAAAAAACGACATTGATTATAGAACAGATGCTTGAAATGTTCAAATCTGGATGGTAAGAGTGTTTGTTTGCAGACACCTGGAGTCTGTGCGAGTCCTCCAGGTTTCCTCCAGTGATGATGAACACCATCAATCTCATTCTGACCACATATGATTTATAAATAACCAGCTTTGCTGACCTTCAGCGCTCTCTC